AGGAATGCAAAACTTGAGTTCCAAAGTTACCATGGATAATCGTCTAAATGCATGTATATCTAAACCTTGGATCAATCAGCCTTGGAGTATTTGTACAAAATAATCCAAATGACATTCGATTTTGAGAATTTTGCCCCAAATGAGAAGTGCTGCAATATCTCATTTTTTCCTAAGTTTAAACATGCATTATTTGCAAGCATTTTTATAGCTCTGCCGTTTTCTTGCAACCATATCCCCCAAACACTTTTACAGTTAACTTTTTAATATTGTGGAAAAATATAATACAGAACAAAATTATCCTTTTAACCATTTTAAGTGTACAGTCCAGTGGCATTAAGTACATTCATATTATTGTACAACCATCACCACCATCCAGCTCCAAAATATTTTTCATCTTCCCAAACTGAAATTCTGTATCCACTAAACACTAACTCCCCATTTCCCTTGCTCCCAGCTTTTGGCAACCACCATTCTACTTTCTGTGTCTGTGAAGTTGACTACTACAGTTACCTTAAAACTAGGATCATACAGTAGTTGTCTATTGTGCCCGGTTTATTTCACTTATCCTGATGTCCTCTAGGTTAATCCATGTTGTAGCGTGTGTCAGAATGTCCTTCCTTTTTTTTTTTTTTAAATAAGATGTTGGGGGTAAGAGTTTTTATTAATTAATTAATTTATTTTTGCTGTGTTGGGTCATCGTTTCTGTGCGAGGGCTTTCTCTAGTTGTGGTAAGCGGGGCCCACTCTTCATCGCGGTGTGCGGGCCTCTCACTGTCGCGGCCTCTCTTGTTGCGGAGCACAGGCTCCAGACGCGCAGGCTCAGTAGTTGTGGCTCACGGGCCTAGTTGCTCCGCCGCATGTGGGATCCTCCCAGACCAGGGCTCGAACCCATGTCCCCTGCATTAGCAGGCAGATTCTCAACCACTGCGCCACCAGGGAAGCCCTGCCCTTCCTTTTTATGGCTGAATAATATTCCATAGTATGGATATACTACATTTTGTTTATCCATTCATCTATTGATAGACACAAGATACTTCTGCCTTTTGGATATTGTGAATAATTCTGCTATGAATATGAATATCCAAATATCTTTCAAGTTCCTGCTTTCAATTATTTTGGGTACTATACCCAGAAGTGGAATTTCTGGGTCATATAATAATTCTATTTTTAACTATTTGAGGAACAACCATACTGGTTTCCATAGGAGCTACAACATTTTACATTCCCACCAGTAGTGCACAAGGGCTCCAATTCCTCCACCTCCTAGCCAACACTTGCTTATTTTCTGTTTTTACATAATAGCCATCCTATGGATGTGACGTGGTATCTCATTGTGGTTTTGATTTGCATTTTCCTAATGATTAGTGATGCTGAACATCTTTTCATGTGCTTATTGACATCTTTATATCTTGTTTGGAGAAATGTCTATTTAAGTCTTTTTCTCATTTTTGAACAGAAGTGTTTGTTTTCTGTCATTGAATTGTAGGAGTCTTTATATATTCTGGATATTAATTGTTTATCAGATACATAATTTGCAAATACTATCTCCTATTCGTGGGTTGCCTTTCACTCTGTTGATAGTGTCCTTTGATGTGCAAAAGTTTTTAATTTTGATTAAGTCCAATTTATCCTTTCTTATTTTTTTGCCGGTGCTT